CTTTTGATCAACTATCTTTGGTTTCTCTAAAATAGAAAATAACACTTCACTCTTTTAGTATAAAATGCATTAAAGGAAATATCTGTCATATGGAGATAAAATATGGAACAATGTGTTAAGAATATTGTTGTACTGTATGTTAAAAAAAGTTCAAAACTTTTGTAGAATGCATATATTATGGATTAAATGTACATACTGATTCCTTTTGTAGTCTCTACTTGTAGTCTCCATTTCACTGATATTAGAGCTGTCTGAATCTTGTCTACTGGCTATACAAGGAAGATTTGTATCACATTATAAAATTGGAAAAAGACACAAAATATTTAAATACTTATGATATAACATCAAGAATTATTTGACGCCAGTAAATGACTAACAATGATTAAGTTTCTAATCGACCATAACTGACAATGTGTTTTTCAACACATAAAATTTATTGCGAAAAATATATGCCTCGGAGGTCGAATTGGTTGAGACGTCCGCCTAGAGTGAAGGGAGGTCCAGGTTCAAACCCTGGCTGAGGTAATATTTTTCGCAATAAATTTTATGTGTTGAAAAACACATTGCCAGTTATGGTCGACTATAAACTTAATCACTTATGATATACCTTTACCTTTCTTCTTTGATTGTAGCTGCGTATTTAATACACTCTTTTGCACTGATATTGATTGGTACGAAGTACTGCTTCCTTTCTTTGTGATGTTACTTGTACCAGGAACAGGCGAAGAAATATCTTTTGTTTGTGACAAGAGTAACATCTTGGATGGATTAATATTTTCAATATTACTTATAGTCCTAAAATAGAATTTCGCATTAAGCTAAAATTAATTAACATTATTTTGTTGCTTATAACAATATTGTACTATATTAAAAAATATTATAAATAATAATTACTGTATGAAACTACTTCAATACTTAAATATATATTCAATTAGTATTCTAATCCAATATATTTATATATTGTTCATCAAAATCACGTACTTTCTATAATTTATCGTTGGTATTAAGAAACATAAGCTTTCGTAAAATGGCCAGGTACTCTTCTTTTTTACAAGTCCACTGCCACTTGCGATATAAGTACATTGTATAGCATGCTCTTTTACAAAGCGGTCTCTCAGATTCTTCCATTTTACCTGGCTGGTACCAGGATTTACATCTACATATTTTTTTTATTATAATATGTGATCTTTTTATTGAAAATGTATCTTCACAATAATATATATTGCATGATTGCAATTATACACCATGTCTTACCTAAAGAAGTATCTATCTCGGTCCATAATGATTTTGTCTCCGATGGTCCTCTAAGTTTATACGGCAATACTGAATTCCATAAAGTTTCCCTCGAAAATACTTCAGCAATTAACCTTTCGATAAAATCACTCCTACTGGCATTATTAGCATTGTAGCAGTCTTGTTCCTTGACAATTTGTGTTGTATAACAGTGATCCTTGTATCATTGCATACAAATAAAATCTCTCATATTATCAAATATCAGATATATTTCGTAACAAAATAGTTATATAAAATCTTTGTATATATAATAAAGTATAAATTATAACCCAATTA